AGATAAGGAACGGGGGAACGCGAGATAGGCGCGGCGCGCGACGTCTCATTGTCGCGCCTCGGGAGTACAAACACGGATTCTCCGGACGTCGCGGCGAAACGGTTCGCCGTCGACGCATTAACGTTTCAATTCGATCGCGACGTTACGGACGGACCCATGTCGACGTTGAGGTATACAAGGATACGGCGAAATCGTTCATCGTGATCGCGTTGGACTCCGTGAGCGGAGGCCGATCGCGCGGAACGGTCCTCGACGACGAGCTCGTCACCGACGCATTCGGCCACGTGGCGCACTTGGTTTTTGCTCTCTTTCTCTCTCTCTCTCTCTCTCTCTCTCTCTTTTCTCTATGTGTGTTTACCTATATAATTTTTCTTTTTTTTTTTTCTTTACAGCGTGTATAGTAAGTTTACAAAATCCACACATCCTGTCTGTTCTGTTTGTTAACCCTTAAACATTACGTTTACTTTGTACTATAAGTTGCAGCCGGAAAACGAGCCGCTCGTTCCCCGGACGTTCGAGGTCCCGCTTTGCGACATCGCTACGCCATGTGTCTGCTTCCTCTTCATCATCTCCTCTTTTTGTCGCCCTCTTCCCTCTGCCGTATCTTCTTTTTGCTTTTTTTTTTCTTTTTTTTTTCTTTCTTTCATTGCTCCGTCGATTTTTAAATATGCTTATGCGTGCGTGATACATGTATTATGTAATCATTATCAACTACGGTATAGTACTATTATATACTATACGAGCAAACGGTACAGTAGTTGCCGGTGCACTCTCTGCGCGCGGTGTAGGTGCAATGATGACATCAATTTTGCTCTCTCACTCTCCTCCCGCGGGCAGCCGCGATTTCCTTTTTTTTTTTTTCTGTCTGTCCCGGAGCTCGCTGCCCGCGCGATGCGAATGATAATGAAGGTTTCCCGTTCACACCGTGACAATCGTCCGTTCCGACGTGCTCGAACGCGCAGCTTCGAATACCGCGGTCAAATCATTGTAATATAATATGATCAATTTAACGACAATTTTCCCAGTCCGATGCAACTTTCAATAACGTTCGAATCTTTGACCGAAAGTACCAGATTGAAAACGAGACTTTTTTTTTTCTCGTGAAATTTTTGTGTCGCCACACTTTCCTTAATTTCGAAGATGAAATTTAGAAATGATGATACCGTGTTTTGGAAATTTTAAATTACTCACGAATCTCTCTTTTTTTTATATACATTGATTATCCGGCTTTCTCGCGCGATCGCGTTCGCGTTCTTCGCCTCTCGAAAGCGTGCGCGCACGAACGGGCCACGGTGTGAACATCTCTCGTCTCTCGTGTCAAGCCTTGTGTCACACACGACATCTATAAAGGATTCTCAATCCGTAAAACACATATTATAGAAACAACATGCAACATTTTATCCTACCGCCGTGATACAATAATGGTACATACATACGCGTACGTATGCGCGCGTGGCACGCGTACGCGCGTCGCGCGAGTGTCGTGTACGTGTGCACGTGTCTGTCTGTGTGTACGTGTGTGTATTCCTGCGGGTACATATATATACATATAGACCAAATATAATTCTTACACCCGGATGTACGACGCGTGGTATAAGAATATAAGGTATTTCGTTGCGTATAATGGCCAGCAGACTAAATCAGAACAAACAATCGAAATACTTGCCCTAAATTTAGAGTAACCATTCTTGGGAATGGAATATCTTATATTTTTATACCATCGTACGACGGATCGCGAAAACTTGGAAATTGAAAGCGCGCGCGTTTCGTTTCGCACACTTTCGATTTTCGATCGCGAGTCCGTCTCTTGCGCGTACCTCGACGAAAATCGACTGTAGCAGCGAATTTGGAATATACTAATATTATCCTCGAGCTGAAGATGCTCGGTATTGACGAGCTCGGGGAGAATCGAGAGGAAAAAGTATACAATAAAAATATCGTAATTTCGTTTCGACAGCGCGTTGAAGAATCATTCGATTACTTTTGAGCAAAGCGATACGACGAAATCAATGACGATTCATAATCGATTTGAGTGAAATTGCCGATTTTCGGCCGTTCCAAATACATTTACGCGCATAATCGATGTCGAGATAATATTACGACTATAATTAATTCTAAATTTTCACTTTAATTCTACGTCGTTTTTATTTTTTTTTTTTTAGGTACGTATGCTCTTTTACTTTTCTCTTATAATTTTCTTCACCGACTGCTGTATGTGTACGTGTGTGTGTGTGTTTCGTGTAAGTGTCGAGTGTGAAATACCTTTACTACGTATGCACTCCTAATCCTTACGTATGACAAAACAATTAAACCCTGGGTTTAACCGACTCCTCCTCCCCTCCAGAAATTCCACGTCTGACGTTATTATTCTAACTTTCGAATTTCGCCGCTCGACTCTGCCAATAACTCGATCCCTCTTCTACTTAAACTTAACGCTAATTCATTGTACCACTTAAAGGTATCCTTCCCCCCTCCCGCCTTTGCCTCTGCTTAGCAGAACAGCCGAAAACAATATATATATTTTGTATATATATTAAGTAAAAGATTCATTATATAACTTGGCATACGCGACCGTATCTATTTACACTAGCATGTGTACTGTCCACGTGCGTGTGTACGTATGTTCTCTCCCATAACTCCTCTCTCCTCCTCTCTCCTCCCTATCTCTCTGTGTACGTGTATGTACGTGTGTGCGCGTGTGTGTATGTTCCTATCATCACATACGTAAACGACACATAACATCTTTGAATATCCTTTTCCCGCGGCTTCTCCCCCGGGAATTAACTTCTCTATAACTATGTAATCTCCGTCGTCCAGCATCATTAATCCCATCCTCGGCGATTAACTTCCCTTTACGCTCCCTCGGGACAATCGTTGTCACCTACGCTCGAATAATTTTCGCTTTCCCTCACCACCTCCTTCATCAGCGCATCGGCGCTCATCTAATCTCACCGATCTATTCGATGATCAACACTACTCTGTATTTATCACCTCTTTCGCTTCATCCCCGGGACGAAAACGGTGCAACCAGTCGCGACCGCTTCAGCAACGTTCGACGACACGTCGGACGTTGATGATTTCGCGTTGCAATTTCGACGCAACGGATCACGACGCATAATTGCGGCTCTTCCTCCTTCCCGCGAATCGCTTCACGCGCGCATTCACGACTGCTCATGCATATGTGTACGCACTCGCTCGCTCTCGCGTTCACTCACTACGGCTTCACAGTTGTACATACATGTTATGTTATTTCAATAATGCGCCCTCGCGACAACAAAACGGAAAGAAAATGGACCTACAGTGAGTGCAAAAAGTGTTCGTACAGAGAAAATATTTTTTTTTTTTTTTTTAAAACTTTATTTTTGAAAAGTAGGATATTATCCAGCGAGAAATGAGTCATCGAATCGATGTCGATACGATGATTTCAACACCAATTCGACGTCGATCCGACGTTTAATTGACGATCATTTCTCGCTGGGTGGGTAATTAACAATTTATTCATAACGAATAAAATAGACGGTATGTATCTCTTAAAATTATATATACCAAAAAGATGCGTGTGTATTAAATTATAGAAAATATATCATCTGAAAAATAAGCGAAAATTAAAAATTCTATTGTATGGATGCTTAAAAAGTATTCGTACAATCGAAAAACTTAGCTTCTAAAATCAGAAATACATGCGAAGCTTGTTTGTTTATGTTAGAACAGAATATATTCATTGTACAAAATTACCAATTAATGTTTATTTTTTTACAAACAAGATACTTTTTTTATAAAAAAAATTTCCTTGTACGAATACTTTTTGCTCTCACTGTATTTCACGTATAGATAGACATCACGTGCGCGAATCAAAGATCTCGGAGCTTCTCGGACGAATGAACTTCATGAATTCATTCGGGACGGGAATGATTGTAGCGAAGGAACAAAACATCGAATGTACATGTGTTTGACTAGCGTGAATGGATTCTGATTTATGATACAAGCGAAGCATGTAGCAATTAATTTAAAATTAATCTACGGTCTGTGTAAGCTCCGAGATCCACGATCTTGCGCTACCCTCTCAAGAGGGTAGCAATGGCAGGAGAACTGCTCCGACATTAACCGGACAAAGTAGTAGTAATAGTAGTAGTAATAATAGTAGCGGCTGTACGGAATGTACAGGTTTTATTGTACTGTATAATATATCGCTATTGTGTTCCCTGTGTGTAATGCATTGCAAAACGATGAGGTAGTACTGTCATACTTTTGGCAGAGTTATGCGCGCGCGTGCGCGACGAGTGCTCACGTATATATTTGGCATGTTGAATGTTATTAGAAAACGGGAAAAAAAAAAGAAGAAGAAAAGAGATGAAGAAAAAATAAAAATAAAAATACAAAAAAAAAAAAGAAATAAAAGAACGGAAATGAACTCTCTTCGGCTTCTATCTCGTGTACTATTATATCCCCAGCTCGCGCACGACGCGCTTTAAATACTAAATAATTCTCTATATCGTCTCTATTGTCTCTGATAACTTACGGTAGGCGGATATCGTTGTGAGAATAACCGTTTAAAAACTTTCTGCGAAAGAACAAAAAAAAATAATAAACGAAAGGGAGAACAAGTAAACGGAACAAAAATAAGACAGATTAATCTGTATAAAGTGTAAATACTGTAACAAGTAATATCGTGGGTGCCATCCTGACTAGGAGTATATCTCTATATATCTATACATATAGGTAATGTGTAATATAAATCTATTGCATTGATCACATCTCATACAACCGGGATAGCAACTATTTCGCGCGTAACCGCGCGCACTGTTTAAAATCACACGTGTGTGATCGATGGCTATACTCTATATTCACGGTACGCGACTATTGCTCCGGACAAAAGTCCGCATTTTAAACATTGTAAACAGGTAACAAAGTGGTAGTGATCGTTTCGCCGCGAGGCATCGCAGCCGTTGCGACAAACTTCCGTGGCGAATGCGTTCGTTTTTTTTTTCCTTTTTATTATCATTTTTTTTTTTTCCAGAAAAATCGATGTCGACATAATATAGTATAATGATGTATCAACGTGATTATTGCTCGGTCGACGTGCTAGGTACATTCGCATTCGCCAAGAAGTATTTCTGCGTGAACAGCTGTATGACTCTCCCACGGCTAATCGCACGACAGTCGTCCGCCCTAGAATCGCAGTGTAATCTCTCGTAAACGTTATATAAAATCGTAACTGTATAAAAGGTGTGTACTTCGTCGGGTGTCGTCTTGGCGCGATTTCGGATATGTGGGTCCCAGCGCGATTATTATATATTTATTAATAGTGGAGTGCGTGTTGTACGCGAGTGTATAAAAAGGCGAAACTGAAAATTAACGTGTGATTACTCCAGAGTAGAAAAAGCGTCTTGTCTTTGGCACTGGTGCGCGCGTAAACGTAAACGTAACGTGTTGGATATAGGTATCGCACATCGGTACGTCGCGATCCTATAGGCTCGACTTCTCAACAGCGATAGTAGTACCAGAAACAGGTAAACCGGTTAACGGCGTTAACGATTAAAATGCGACGGCGAGTAATCCGATCTATGTTGAACTATCAAAAGGTAGCGTTTTCTCCTGGCGCTCGTTCGCGCCACGATTTAAGTTTACCTGAGTTTACATTGGTTTCTCTCGTCGCAGTCGCCTGCGCTATAACGGCTCTGCGTGTACGTGTTTATGCGCCATATTCGCTGCTCAGGTCGTTACCTTCACTCGCTATCTCTCGTCTCTCGTTTAAAAAGCTCCTAGTTAATAATCCTTACTTGACCGTTGCACTTTCATTGACTAGCTTTGTGATTCGCAGCGTTTTCGCGAGCGTGCTCGAGGCGCCGTGCGCATCGTTGTTCCGTGCCTCCTTCATGTTTTTTTTTTCTTGCCCCATTACGAATCTTCATAGTCGTGCCCCTCGTTGATGATTTCTCGACGATTCCAGACGCGCACGCGGAGAGATCACTCTCGCGACGAGGAATCGGGACGGCGTTCGCTGACGACGACGAAGGGAAAACGAAGGTACCTAACTGCAGCCTCTCCTCTCCTCTCGTCTCGTACGCTCTAACCGCGGTCCAGTCTCGCGGTCGACTCTGGCGAAGTGGTTACCGGAATTGTTGCTTCCGGTACCACCGCACGTGGACCACGACGGCGACCGCGATGGCGACGGCGAGAATGACAGCGACGCCGAAGACATTGTTACTGGAGCACAGTGTCCGAGATGTTGGAGAGCACAGTGTCCGAGACCGAATGGTTGGACTGCTGGAATTCTTGCTTCATGCTGAGCTCGGCTTTGTGCTCTCGCGCGATGTGCCGTCTGACGGTGTTGTTCCTGGTGAACGTTCGCGCGCAGTACGGACACGGTACTCTGATGCCCTGGTGACGTTGCCGCACGTGAGCGCGTAGATTCGTCTCGTAGCCGTACAGTCTCTCGCAGAAGGGGCACTTTAATTTCCTACCTGGAAAAGTAGGAACCTTTGTTTACAAATCCAATTCGTTAAATAAATAAACCGATTATACCTACGTTTGTTTGGCGCTAAATTACTATCGGCCGTAAACTTACTTCGGCAAATAAGAACGCTATAATTTTCAAAAGAGTATAAGCGTCGCTCATGTACGTGGCGGTTAAAAATATTAATAGACCACCAAAAAATATTTCACGGAACTGTCTCAATCGTGATATACATTGGTATTATACGAAAGACCTGGCATTAAAAAAAAATCTTTTCTTTTTTTTCAAACGTAGTTAAAATTTTTCCACGATTTAATCAACACGTAAGCCTATGAGCTAATCATAGTGTTCTGCGTATAAACGCACGTGTAATGCCGCAGCGAAACCTTCGTGGAAGGAGGACCGAATGCAAATTGCGCAACCCAGCTTCTCTTCTTCCCTCTCTTGTTTTCTCTCTTTTACACATACATTTTTTCTGTTAGTGCGCAATCGCGTTTCGCCATTAGTTCCATCGACGAGAAGAAAACAAAGTTCAGGCTGAGGCGATTCATGGTGGAGCATTAGGCCAATGCCTCTGAGATTGTTGGCGCGTGCAAGGCCAACCTTGAGCTCTGCGGGCTCTAATATACTTCCCGTCCAACCCGATTAACTTGCGCCAGAAGTACCATTTACATTTTACGGCAACTGCCACGCCGCACCGGTTCGGCCTCCTCCTACGCACGAACGCGCAAAACCGATCGCGGCCGATAAACTATCTACAGCTCTGTTCGCGTTGCTAAAATCTACACAAATATTTGCACTTAAAATGAGATAAATATATATTTAGACGAGAGAAAAGGCGAAGATGTTGACGAGTGCAAAAAGTGTTAGCGAATAGACCTTTTGTCATATGAGCCCCTTAGTTGACAAGTGGCACAAGTCCAAAATTAGGAAAAATGCGTTTGTGTAGAAATAGGAAGTATTAAGAATGTTTGTTTTATCTACCAATTTAATTTACTTTTATTTTGTTTTTATATTCATAAAAAATAAAAATGGACTTAGTCATTATTCTAGCTTTTTTTTACGGTCACTTTATTTATGATGTAAAATTGATTTTTATTTTTTATCAGCCTGTTACGCAGCCTGTTATATATTTCTTAAATTGTTACCCTAAACCCGATATAGTCGCAATTTTTTAGACCTTAATTATTGTACGATTATTTTTCTTGCTACACAATACGTAACGACGCATTATAATAGTAGACGCAATATATTTTCTGTTTATATATTGTTAAGATTATTTCTAAAGCTGACGTTTTTACATTGTTGGAATAGTGAAATTAAATTATAAAATATACCATGCTAATATTAGACTGAACTAAATGCTTAAAATATGCATTTAAGAAAAAACATTCTTCGAGAGAAACGTGATACATAATTAAATGCTGCTTCGATTCAAAATCGATATAAATTATGATGCGTTGTAAAGATATACCGTTCTCTAAAAGTATGTCATAATGTGTTAAATTTTTTTTTTTAATTTAACGCCACGTTGAAAAAAGATAAGAATATGAATAAGATAAGAATAATTTTTGCTATCTAAAGTGGAAAGTACTGTTAAATTTACACAACATGGAATTTGTGCAATAAAAATTAAAATAACTACTAACTTTGCTGATAGCATCGAAATAGCTAACGTTATACGGGAGCTGGCCGTGACACCGTCCTCGAACTTCATCCCAATGTATAAGCAAGAAGCTCATTGTGAAGTCGGAGAGACTCCGCACTGTATCAATGACGTGCCTCCGAATGAGAAACACGTTAGTCTCGTCGCCTGTTAACCCACACGAGATTCCTCTTTGTCTAATCCCAAAGAGATGCGGCGATGTTCTCAAACGTCGGGTCATCGTGACATCACCGGTCCCTAACAGCGGTATTGCACGCGCGTGCGTTTAACAATAATAATAAGTTCTAACGTAATTCTATGCTGAATCACAGTCGATGAATTGGCCGAAATTTGCGTTTGCGTTTCACGAGCATAGTTGAACGGGGGCCATTCACCAACGGGCTACGTGTGACACACCGTGTCATTATCGAAATTATATAGATTAATCGGAAACAGTTCGGTGGAGAGTCGAAGGAGATAAAAAAAGAAGGGACCGCCCATCATCGGGGCCGTTCTCTCTTAAACGAAAGGATTCCTCGCTACAGCGATTCAGGTGTCACGAGAGATGGCAGAGAAAGATGCGAATGATGAGAAGAATCGCGCTGGAACGAGTCAGTCACACGCTAGAATATCGTAAAAATTGTTGCCACATTCAACGCATAAATAATCGTCTGGATAAGTGACGTATACATGAAAAAATATCATTCTGTTGCTAAGAAAAGTGATTACTTAATTTATGTTTTTCCTTTTAAGTAATAGTTATCTTTAATAAAGAAGAATCATTTTCTTGATAATAATTTTAAAATATATTTATTACAAATTTTAGAATTAATTATTATGTATTTAAAACAAAAATTTATTTTTTTTATAAAATTGCAATTTTATATAATAAACAAATATATTTGTTTTAATTTAATAATCTTGATTGAAATATTACCAGGATTTAGAATACTTTGAATAAATTGTGATGGACTTATAATACAGATTTGTTATATAAACTTTTCAAATATTATTGAAACAAATATATAATTATTACTTGTGTACAGTAAATATTTTTCTGTATGCATGTACGATACATTTCATACAAAAAAAATCGATTTTTAGAAATCTCCTTGCATCGTTCGTGGCTTATGAGAAATCTTTCTTTTTTTCAATCATCATTCTCGGTCATTTTTCTTAATTGTTATCTACACTGCATTTATTATCTATATTAGTGTCACCCTCCCATCATTTATGCAACGTTACGCGATTCCGAGATTTATTCGTTTGATACACAATTGCGTTCGATGTCAACTTGACGCGTGGAATAAACGACCACATTTATCATTAAACATGCGCCAAAAATACAGGCGAATGACGATATCAGTCGCGGCGTATAAAAAAAAACACGATGTGCGCGTGTTACGTACGGAACCGCGCCGGCTCCTTGGTGGCGGACTGCGCCTAAAAATAGTAGGGCCATGGCATCCTAGAAAATGTAAACGAGGCCGCGGGGCAGCACACACGGTCTCGTGCAGCTGACTATGAAATTCACAAAGGACCCGCGCGCCGGAACAAAGGCACTCGTATGCGCGAAGACGCCGTAAGCCGGAAGAGAGAGAAGGAGAGGAGAGTGGCCGGACGGGCCCTGAAAGAGAAAGAGAAACAGAGAGAGAGAGAGAGAGAGAGAGAGAGAGGGGGGGGGGGGGGGAAGAGAGCTCGATGAGGAGGATCATTCGCGTAAGGAGAAAGGGCAGGCGGGACGAAGCTGCGGGGTAGATACGCCCCTGAAACATGCAGAAACGATGCCGGTCAGGAAGCGGGACGCTTCTGGGAAAGGTACCGCGCCATCTGCGCCGCCCAAGAAATCGCCGATCCGTCGCCCGGGTCTCGTGTTTATCGATGATTACCACACGTAGCTAGCTACACGTTCCCGAGTGTATCGAGGTGCGAGCCATGATCGGCGCCGAAATTCTTGGAAAATTCGCGAATTTCGTTTTGCGCGAGAGTACCTCGACGGAATCGAGGCACGGTCTAAGTCTACATCGTTTGAAGTTTTAATAATTCGAGGAAATGTCACTGCTCGAATCTCTGTCCTAAAAAACAAAGTTTGTCTTTCCCTCCATGGCGCGTTATTAAACCGTTATTATTATGAAGGGCTCGAACGCTCCTCGGAAAATAATTGAGCGATCCAATTAGTCCCCCGAGCCTGGGTATTCGCTCGCGCTTCGAATTATCGTCACATCCCGGGGAGGATCGCTGAGGGCCACTGAGTCGATGGTCTGGAAGGATGCGAAAGGGGATACGGCGATTTGGAGCAAGTCTCCAATTCTTGGAGGAATCGTGCGTGTTTGACCGGAGGGCCTGGGGAAAGAGAAGGCGGAGGAACGAGGAAAAAGGCGAGAGACAGAGAGAGAGAGAGAGAGAGAGAGAGAAGGAGGAGCAGAACGGACGGGAGATTGGAGGCGGCAAAATGGAAAGGTTAAGTTACGAAACGCAACGGCAGCCTCCAAGGTCTCCCCCGTCCCTCAATCCCCACACCTCATCGGTCGATCTGACCCTTTTTTTTCTTTTCGGCTGAATAGATCGAACAAATATGTAACGCAAAGAGTGACTCCTGACACGCAGCCCTATCGCAACTTGCAGCTATTCACTGCGGCTTTACCGCGATCGATCGCAGGCCGCAACGTTCCTTTCAAGCGTATCACTGTTATCAGCGTACGGCCCTGTCCTCCCAGCCCTCTCGTCCTCATTTTCGGCCCTCCCGGATGCGTAGTGATCTCGCCCGCGCCTCCGCTGATATCTTACGCGCTGACGCGTATGTGAGCGAGCTGGGAAAATGGAGGCCCAGAGTCAAAGATGATATGGCGTTAACTCAAAACAGTTCAGGGTACGCAAAATAGAGTGCTTTCCAATTGCTTGTCACATCTTAATACAAATGTACATAGAAATGTACAAAATATAGCATTGTGCATGATTCAATTGGAACAGAATGTACGCTGTGTTGCGATTCCAAATAGAATCAAATTAAAGCTGATATTCATAGTCGATTCTTATATTTGAGACTGTCTTAAAATGTCAGCCAAATCAGAGGATTGTTTTAACATCTTAAGACATTTAAGATGGTCTTAAAATAAGAACGGACTATGAACACCTCTAAATGTAGCTTCTTCAACTTGTATTGAATGAAAAAGAGCAAAAACCCAACGTTCTCCAACTTCACTTATACCCGCTGCAATTAGTAATACATAACTATAGACTTTCTATAATAAATCATTATTTAAATTTAAGTCTTAAGCCATAAGAAATTGATCAATCACAGTTGAATGTGGGAATAATTGACTATGATTGATCAATTTTTTACGGCTTAAGACTTAAAGTTT